AAGAAATATTAGATGTTGGTATATTAACATCAGTTTCAGAATACATAGACAATGAAGACGTATCTACAAAGCGTGCACGCATACACACACACACACACACACATACACACACACACACATATCCAGCTATCTACAGCTCTGCAAGATACCACAGTATTTTATTATTCAGGATGAAAAAGGATATCTTTACTTTCCACTGGGGTATGAAAACCAGCATTCAGTGATTTTCTTTGTCCTTTGTGATTGAAAATGTCGATCAAACCATCAGCCATTAGGACAGTTGAAATTTGAGACATTGAAAACAATACTGTATAATGATAATCTGCTTTTAGCATTAGAGGCCACACTGTTCTAAGCACTGTGGTTCAATTCTGAAGATCCCCACCGCTCCCCAGTGTCATGATTCTCTACTTTCCTGAGAAATCTTTCTAAATTAATCAATAAGGGTGTCAGGAGTCTTTTGCCCATCTCAAACATCAGCGGAAACAAAGACATTTTCATGGTTTACAAAGTTACCTTGTATCTGTAGTTCAAGAAGCTATTTCTGATTCACATAGGATGGATTTTTACAGTGTTTGGGCCAGTAAAACAAATCTAAATTCTTCAGGGTTAATTAGATTTTTTGCAACTTCCTCCTGAGTTCAAACATGGTAGCAAATCAACATAAAACTATTGGGTCTCAAGAACAATGTCTAAGTTAGATCTCTGTAAGCCTGGTTTACTTCCTCCTCCTTCAGAATCATCCCCTTAGTTTTCTACATGGAAAGAAACACTGGGGAATCCCTTCTGATGCTTTGCATTATTAGATAGAATATGTACAGTTCTCTGTAGAATTGTGTGAAGTGACTACAGTGACTGAAGGCAGGACCTTCAGCATGGTGGGAATTTTGGTAAGTCAACAAAATTCATATATATATATATATATATATGACTTGGTTATTAATTATTTTGCACAATGCACATACTTCTAATATCAATTCAATGTTTACTAGAGAGATTCGTAATAAAGCTATAAAAACCACAGAGCTACAGTAGCATTAACTGTGTTAGTGTTCAATAGTCAGCAGATCAGCAGGTGAAGGTGAGTTGACGTGAAATACTCACATTTTAGAATCATTTATGAAGTATTGACATTTCTGTGCAACAAGATTTAACCAGGTGAGAAATATCTCAAAAAGACTAAAAGTGTGTTGTATTTTCTGTGACATTAGAATGATGGAAATAGATGAATTTACAATTTTTTTCCTTAACACATCAGTAGTTTTAGGTACAAAAGTTTTTTTATTTTATCATTATGAGCAATATCACCCTTTCTCCCGCAAACCTTTCTCTATAATTCTCATGTAGGTGTTGTGTAGTTGGGAAAAAATTGCCAAGCAGCTTCTGATTCCTACTGTTCATATTATGTTTAAAAAAATCCTGGCTGATTAAAAGAGGTTGGTGTCAGTAAGGTGTTCCTTGATCTTCATATAAACCAGTTTCCCACTTACTTTTATCATGTTCTACAGGGGGTGGGGGGAACTATAAATGGGGAGAAGTATACTCGACATACTGTTAAGATAGGTAAAGGCTTAAAAACATATTTGAAATTGACACATTTTAATAACTTAAAAATGCTGGAGGCAAACTGATGATTATAATTTTAAAGATAGTCTTAAAATTAACTTCTTAAAATGAGAATACACAAAACTACCTGGCTAATTAGAAAAAAAAACCCACAATTTTAATAATTATAAAAAGTTACTTCCTCTGAAATCTTATTAAAAATTAGACTGTGTAAATACATGCAGGTGCCAATTTAAAGACTGTTTTCCTTTTTAAACAAACATGATGTTATCAAGTTAAATGATCACCTTGAATAAATGTCCCCTATGGCTTAACCAGGACACAAATGGTTATAGCAACTATCAACACTTTTGGATTATAAATCAAATTTTTGATGTCTGAAAACATATTTTTCAGATGGTATAAGACAGACAAATGTCTTGATTACAAAACTGAGTTTAGTCTTTGGAATCTATTTTATGAACTCTAAAATTTTTTTTCTACATAGAATTCATTTATACAAAAATGTTTCTAAAACCTGGTTTCCTATGTGTTTGTGTTCCTTCTGTGTCTTCAACTTCCTACAGTTTGGAGAGATCTAATACGTAGATTCCAATTAGGAATGCATAGTAATTGTTTATGTGACAAATTATAATATACTAAAACTGAGCAATTAAATCTTAGTATTCTGGCTATAATATACTGGGAAGTTTATATATAGTATTTCATATCAACTATTTTCCTTAGAGCAAAACATTAGTGCCAATGTATCAATTCAAACCAGATTATAATTTCAGAATGTTTATTTTTGAGTCTTTAAATGTACATTGGCATTCATTTATAGTTACAGTGGCTTTTGTTTGTTATATTGATGGTTTTTGTTTTCCTCTCAAAATATCACAAGTACTAGGAGTTTGATACAGTGTTAATGAACAATTTTAAAAGCTAAATACTTTTGTTACTATGGCGTGGATACAATTCAGTTCAGAGTTGATTGTTAGACAAAGGTTTTTTTTTCCCCCCTTCCTACAAAACTACAGTCAGTCACTGACAAAAGTTTATAAAGCTATCATTAAAGTAGGAGGATTCATCACACTGTTAACACTGAAGATTAAAAGCTTATTTTTTTAAAAAAATGTTTTTAGTGTATTAATTTTTTAAGCTGTATAGGTGGTCTTAAAAACAGCACAGACCATAAACTATATTTTAATTTAGAACCATTATGGGCCTATTTTAATAGGAAATTATGATTAACTTAATTAGTTGCCTTTGCTTTTGCTGCTTATTTTTATTTTAACATAATTGTAATTGTTCTTGTGCCAATTCATTTTACTCACTACGATTATTCTAGCATAAACTTGGACACTTATTTCCCATATGTTCAGATTTACTGTGTTAAAAGCAAAGAGGGTTGTTCACAAAACTTAACTGAATTCCAAACAATTTTCTTCTTTAAATTTCTATTTACTTAAAATATTATCAAGTAGCAACCTTGGCTATGCAACAAGTCATCAATATAAGAATCGATTAAACCTGAGGTCCTTTAGTGCCCTGACAAAGTATCTCATTACTTAAGACCTCAAAGAGGTAAAAATTTCAAGCGTAAACTATTACAAAAATATTATTTACTAGGAAGCAATAATTGGCTTGTTTCATTTACATAACTTTCTCTCTCAATTGGCTAAATAATGTGCTATGTATGTACACTGAGTATGTTTGGTAGAAATTTACTTAATGGAAAATATGCAAATAAGCACATCAATGAATGCCATTGGGCACTGAAGACCTAGAATCAACAGAAGGTTCTAGAATGAAGAAAAAGTTAATAGCATTAGTAGGTCAGTGGCTTTACATGAAATGTCAGGTAGAAGAGTGGGTCAGGAACTAATATAGCTGGTCTAATCAGGACTATATGAATATACACATTTCTCCTGAAATGATGCACAGTCAAGTACTTTACCTACTGCTTCTTTTGTTTAATTAGTCACACAGCAAAGAACAAGAGGATCTTAACTTTCTGAAGCACATCAGTTATGATGTATGAGGGGTGTACAATGGCCCTTTCATCTCGATGCAAGGGCAAAGTTAATGCATAGTATGCAGAGGCCTTGTATACCAGTTTATGTATTCAAGTGATCTTTCTTCAGGTTGTTCTTAGTAGAAATGGGGAGACTACCTGTTTCAAATTCCGGATAATGAGACACAGGGCACCACATATAGGAAAGTAGTAATTCCAGAGTATGGAACAACTAAACAGCTGAACTGAAGTAGTCTCCCCATTTTTCCACGAAGCCAGGGTTTTACTGATATTGTTTTCATTTGGAATACTATTTTTTAAATCAAGCACAAGTGCTTGCTGTCCGAAAGCAATAGCCTTATTTCTGAGACTGCCTTAGATTTGCCCACAAAAGGATTTTTTTTTATTACCAAGTATTGGTTGGGTTATCAGCAATATTGGTAAGATTGGTAATATTCCCAAGGTGTGGAATGAGAAAGCAGATTATTTCTAATGCTTACGTTTCTCCTCCAAATTAAAACGTCTAAGGATTTCAAGAAAATATTTCCATCAGTTGACTGAAATGGATTGATCTAGGGATTCTTTGAAAATGGCTTTCAGATTAATGCATGCTCTGGCCCAGCACAACTTCCTCTGTCACAGACTTTTTAGTGTCTCTTGATGACTGGCTAGTCACACTCCAGTCTCAATGCCTCTCACCTTGAATTAAGGTATCATTTATAGATAGATAGTGTTTAGGCTTTTGTAAAGTAAGCCCAAGGATATAACACAAGAGAAAATATACTTTGGCAAGTCCATTTGCTCTTTATTCTATGTAGGGGCTCCTTGACCAGACACGGGTTGTATAGTAGCAGCAAGATATAGAAAGTTCTTTCGAAGCAATTATTTTTGTCCTTCCCCTGCACCCATAAGTTGAAGAAGATGAAAATGATGTAAAACAGTCTTAAATGTTTGGCATGAATGTGAGAAGGATGCAAAAGGGGCAGGATGAGATGTCAGAGGCTACAGAAGGGGAGTCTGCGGGATGGAGGTGGAGAAGCGACACAACAAATTTTGTTTGAGGTTGCCATAAAGAAACCTAACGCTGTGTGTTGATGTTAAAGGTCTTACAGTCTTCTTGTACAATGAATAAGCTCTTTGCTATCACTGTTGCCTTTCTTAACCAACTGAGGAAATTTAAATTTCCAAATTTCTCCATCAAAACGGAGCTTAACAAAAAGGGGCCAGGAGATAACCACATCAAGTGATATTTAAACCACTGGATGGCTGTCTTTCATCATAAGCCTGGTGACAAGAGCTGGTTTAGGAATAAGCACACAGTGACCTTCCTTATCTCACTGAGTGGGAGCTATGCATCTGTCTGCAGCCCATCCCACTTTCCTGGTCGTCTTTGTCTCCAAAAGCCTGTACCATTGTGTTTGGATATTCAAGTCAGATATAGTGTGTGTGTGTGTGTGTGTGTGTGTGTGTGTGTGTGTTGCTCACTTGGGTCACAATAGTAAAGGAGAGTTTAGACTCTGAAAAATTAGAGAAAAGGAAAGGCAAGAAAAGTCAAAAGAGGACTTGACAATATAGTACATACGTCAAAGCAATCTCTTCTAAATCTCAATCAGTTGTTTATTGGTCGGCAAACAAGTTTCACTTTTACAACAAATATTAGTAATGAGGTCATCCAACTTGAGACCGTACAAAATGGATCATAAATTTAAAAAAAAATTATATGTGCTGCTAATTTACCATTTGTATTCCTACATTACTTAAAATCCTGTCAAATAAATAAATTTCCCTGTTAACAGAAATCTTTAAAAAAAATACTTCAAAATAATTTGACCTTTCAACTCACACTACCAGGGAGTGAATTTCCTCTAACAATTGGTAGTGCAGGTGCCCACTTGGGGGTCAGACTGCACAGTCAGCACTTTTAACGCCTATGGAATACAGCATTTCACATGCAGAAGCCCCTCTAGCTCTAGAGACACCTCTTAGCTTCTAGAATCGTAGCTACTGCCTTGTTGATGAACTGCTTGCCAAATATGCTTTGCATTATTACAACAGATGTGCCCCGAAAACATAAAATTTGTCCTGCTCTAATTTGCAAAATGACGTTGGAAATACTTGGGCTGGATAAAGATATATAGCGAGGGAAGGAAGTCTAATTTTATTTATTTTATTATTTTATTTTTTGTTAAAAAATAATCTGTTTGCATTACTAGAAAATGATTCTTATAAAGTGATAGCTTCATTTATTTATTATTATTTTTTTGCCAGGTGAATTTTTAAAGAAAAAAAAAGTGGGGGAAGAGGGGACAAAAAAATAAAAAGAAAGAAAACAAGAAAGGAAGGAAACTTTGCTCTTTTACTGGTAGACAAACTTGCAAGACTAGCACAAAAGAAAAGGAAAATTTCTTCTTTGCCACTACATTAACAGGACTCAGATTCTGGAGGAACAGAAAAGACTATATGCGCAATGCTAGTATCTGTACATTACATAGAAATTGTTCAATTTATTTCTGCCATTAGTTTTATCATCAGTTAATACAGCAAATCATAAAATATGCATTTAGCATATAATTCTAGAATTCCCCTCCATCAGATTATTAATTTTGTTGTTTTGCTTTTGTTTTTCACGGCTATTCCCGCTGTGGTGAACTCAGGTTTCGAGTGACCGTGAACCGCTATGTGATACAGTTCTGCTCTGCTTCTACGGGCGGGGCAGCACTCCAATCGAGATGCAGCATTGTTACTAATTTCAAACAATAGTTCTGGCCTTTTTTAAAAAAAAATCAGGTCCTTGTAATTCTAGTAACAGAGCATCAGAGATGTTAAACAAACACAACATAACTCAACAAGGCCACAATGAGCGCCATTTTCTTCTTATCTCGTTCATTAACATAATGAAGTCTCCATCTGAGGGGAAAGGAAGGGAAAGAATGGGGCACAGGAGGATCTCAGCAGTTAGCTTTCTCCCCTGGGCTGACCTAAAAATTCAAGTTTAAAAAAAAAATGTCAGAGAGTCTCTCTTTTGAGAACAGCATCAGATGTCAGAGAACACACGAGGACCACTGCTTATATCGACTCAGGATGGTCCACCAGGTGTTAGCAGTCCTGTTGGTTGCCATGTCTGTGTCATCTTCTATAGACTAGTGACCAAGTGCGCGGGTCCTTTGGACGTCCCCTCCGGAGAGGTCCCATCTTTATTGGGAGGAACTATGAATCCGTCGCTGCTGCCGCGCCCCAGCTGGTAGTAGGCGTGCAGCGGGTGCACGTGGTTTCTGGAGCCCAGGTTTGGCATGCTTTTGTAGTAAACATCTTCGGCGTCACCACCCTTGGCCGCTGCGGTTTCGGTCTGGGTGCTGGTGGTCACACTGTCTGCAGCGGGCACGCCTGCCAGGGCCGGCATGCTGGTGTACAGGGAGTCCCTGTGCGGTGACTGCAGGTCTTCTGTGTGCTCGTCGGTTAGCAGAGGGAAGAAGCTCTCGCTGTGGTCCTGGGGGAGCCGCCTCCTGCTGTAATGATGTGGCTGGTGGTTATCCGTGGAGTAAACCCTCGGGGGCAGCAAGGGAGCATCGGATTCCTCGTGAATGAGTTCCAGGCCCAGACTCTCCTCATGGTTAAAGGACGCTGCGTCATCCAAGACTATGGCGTCATCTTCACTCCCGCTGCCTAAGTTGTTCACCAGTTTGTTCATCATATTCCGGTTCTGTTCGCTGGAGCGCTCGTGGTTGTTCAGGTATGAAGGGATATAGTTGGAAGTGAGTTCCTTTAAGATCTTTTTCTCTAGGGCGGTCTCGTTGTGGTTATAGCCACGGTCTATAATTTGCACACAGTTGGTCAGGTATTCGCCGCCAGCAATGCTGTAACTGTTGCCATGGTTACCATTCAGTGGTAGAGTATCCATGACACTTGTATCCCTGGCATTGTTCAGAAGCCCCTCTGAAAAAGATTACAAGACACTATGACATTTATATCCAATGAGCCATCGAACACACACACACATACACACACAAACACAAAAGTAGAAACATTTATGACTCTAAAATATGTATAAATTGCTAGCATTTAAATATTAAATGGAAAGAAATAAAAGCACTATTAAATCTATACATGTCAGCATGTATGTATATAATCCAAAAAGTGTAATAGAAATGTTATATGGAGAAAATAATTATTTAAAGTAAAATTAAAAAAAACTTATTAATTTCCAGTTTCACACAAACAGAATATAATAAAGTATATTTAGTTGTAACTGGCAACTTAAAAATAAGATTTGATGTAGTCATTCACTGCTTTCAATTTATACACATTAAGGCCAGTTAAATCATCATTTCTAACTTTACATATCTCTGAAATAAGTAACATAATTCATTTGTGACACTTTGAATATGCAGTTCAAAACTAAGAGAAACATTTGGTATCTTGATATATAAATATAGTTTAGGAAGAATAGAAAATATTTGCATACAAAAACCACAAATGCATTATGTTAAATTTGCAAGTTGTAAAATAATGTCCAGTCAAATATACATGCTTTCAAAAGTACTTGGATCTTTTTTTTTTGCATTTTTCTTCTATAATCACATTAGTTACTACTGTTTAATAACCCAACAATTATTGTTTAGGGTCACTGGAGAATACTTCATAAGAATGTGTAAAAACACAGTGTTTGATTCCTAAAAGCACAATATATTTAAAGTTATCCTCTTATAATGACTGATGACTTGGGACATATTAAAATTTACTTTTAAAGAAGATAGACATTTTATTCTGGTAAGAAAGAGCTGCAGGAAAATAAATTTAACCACAAACTTCAAGGTTTTTGTAGTCTTTTGAATAAGCAGTTCAAGAATCTATAATAGTTTCATAAATTACATTAAGCACAGCCACAAAAGAAAAAAAAATCACCTACACATTTAACCAGTGCTGGTAAATAAGGAAGCTATGGTGAAGTCCAAAAATTTCCTTGAAGGATTTTCTTAAACCTCTAGATACACTTCTAAATTGTGAAAATATAGCACTCATTCTATATCTGTGATGCAATTATGTTTCTGAAAAGCCAGTTCAATGACAGGTTGAAAGGACACGTCACATGCTTATGCCAATTTCATATGGCCTTTTGCCTACTTCGCATCCACACCAAACGGTTTTCAAAGAGAGCAATTCATAAAAATCCATTAATAAGCAGCCACCACAGACATAGTTTGAAGCGATTTATTTTCATGTCATAAAATATCTGGTACACAAATTCACAATGTTAAGGGAAATAAAAAGTAAATGCTTTTTAAAAGGGCTGAGTATGACTGGTGACTGCTGTTGTAGCAGCTGGTACGGTATGTTTAATGGGTATGATAATGTTGTGGATGCATTGAAATTTTTTTTTTTTTTAAATTTTGTTGTCAATGCATTTGGTATCAGGCTTAAAATAGCGGTAGAAAATCAAGCGGGCACGTTGCAATGGGACACGTGTTTAATGATGGAAATGCACTAATCAAAATTAAAAGTGTATGGGTTACTTTGCAAAGGAAAATAAACGCTTAATTTAAAAACAATTTAACTCACACAGACAATACATGAGACTTAACAATTATGTTGACTACGTGACAGGATAAAAGAATCAGACAACGAGAGCGTCTAATCTCTATTAGCAGATAGTTATAGAAGTTGAATGATAGGTTCTTTTTTTTTTAAGTTTTGAAATTGTGAGATGAACTGTTTTTAATAACTACATCATCTATATGTGATGCAATAAAAGTGAACTGAAAAAAATTACATTTGATATGCAATGTTTAGCTTTACTCCCATACTTGTCTCTCTGTAGGGCTCTAAACGACAGCATGAAGAAAAGGAAAGAAAAAACAACAAGTAAGCTTACGGCGACAGTAGGAGGAACATGAGTCAAAAGCAAATTGATGATATGCAGAAAAAGGAGTCACGGGAAATCATTTCCACCGTCCCCAAATTCACGAATTTGTGTTACATGGTTTACCACAATTCAAACACTAAAATGTTAGTCAGAAAACAAGGGCCCTCCCGCTTAACACACACCAAATACAATGAAGCTTTTAATAAGTGTTGCCACAGCTCACAGATTTCTTATACACTCATATGACACTTCAAATTGTCACACAAACCAGAGAGTAAAAAAGGAGGGTGAGCCGTGACTGTTTCTACTGCTGTGTTTCAATAGGATAAGGATGTGGTGTTAGAAAGTACCAGCTTATAAGGAACGACACCCACTGTTAGAAATTAGTAGCGAAATTAAAAAGAAAATACAGAAAGAAAACTGGAATTGAAGTTCTCATAACTCTGTTCTTTTGGGTCTTGTGTTTCTTCTCTCTCTTGCACCAGGGTTATTTCACTCCATTGAGCCTAGACAGATGCTGGTTGTTTGTTTGTTTGTTTGTTTGTTTGTTTGTTTTTAATGGAGTCCAATCACAATCTCTGTTTTACACATTGTTGTACTGTTTATATAATATAAATGAAGTTATCTTTGTCTTCTATTAAAGATGCAACATTTGGAATGTAAATAAAACAATTTTAAAAAGATTCGTTACTTATAAATTATATTTCAAAAACCCTAAATTTGTACTACAAGCATAGCTAAATAATAGAGATGCTGAGTTGTTTAAAAATGAGAAGGTCAAGCCTGAGCTATCTGAGGCTCACATTAATAAGAGGTTTAAGTACAGGGGAAATATTTAATCCATCTATTATTCTGCCTCCCAGTAAGAAAGAGAAAAGCTTCCATCCAAAATAGAAAGTTTTCTTTAGATTGCAATATCATTTTATATTGCAAACTATATTAAGAGTAGATGATTTAAAAGACAAGCCGGGCAGTGGTGGCGCATGCCTTTAATCCCAGCACTTGGGAGGCAGAGGCAGGTGGATTTCTGAGTTCCAGGTGAGCCTGGTCTACAGAGTGAGTTCCAGGACAGCCAGGGCTACACAAAGAAACTCTGTCTTGGAAAAAAAAAAAAAAGACAAGCCACCAATTTCTTTTCCAAGAAAAATCTATCTGCAATCAGCGAGAATACTTTTCCTTGTTCTTTTGTTTATAGGAAGTTTAAAGTATCCAAGAATAAAAATGAAGGAAATTACTGGGCCATATCGCTTCAGAAGACTCTGGCTTGTAATACAAAAAGTCTTTTTTTTTATACAAATATTTTTGTCAGTGTTTACTAATTGCACAAATTTATCAGCGGATGTTCTCATACATGCACACTTTAGTCATATTCTCTGGCTGAAGGGGTAGTTTTGAATTTTAAGTATTGATTATCCTCTTACAAAAGAGTTGTGTCACATTTTTAAAATGCAAAGGAAATCCCAGCTAAAACTTTGAATTAGCTTTAGAAGAAGAATTCAAACTAAACAGTTAGCTGTTTACCAGCTGGTCCAAATGCTTCTAGTCTCATTTGGGCTCATTCAGCAAGGGAACTAAGATCAGTGGAACCTGGGCCTCCTCTGATGCCACACTGTTAATGCAGAGGAGGAAAAATGAGAAAGTAGGCGTAGACTTCTCCCAGCTCTGCTCTCCTGTACTGATCTGCCACAGGGTTGGGGAACCATAAGGTAATATTAATTTATATCCTGTACGACTTTGTATTCCTAGCAAATATAATGCACTCATCACTGCATCCTGCCCTATGACTTTTTGTTTTTCTTTAAAGTTTTGAATTTGAATTCAATTACTTTGAAAAAAATACGCTTATTTTAGTAAAATCATGACTTTCTCTTTATGTAGCGTTATTTTGGCAGGTTTTTCAATGAGACTTATCTTTATAAAATTTCTCATCCTGAGAAGAAGATAATGGTCCGGAAATAATATATGATATTTTAGATATTTCTATACATAGTCTTTCAAGTTAGTGTAACAAATGTATTTTCTTCATTTTTATTTCTAACTCCATATACTTCAGTAACACTGTGAATACATTTTCACAAATTTTAAGAAAAGGCACTTGGGAGCAAGAATGACTACTTTCAAACTGAATGATTCAATGCCCAAACAGCGTTTGGCACAGTTGAATTAGAGGAAGCACCAAACAAAATCAAGTGCCAATTCAATATGAACCACGCTAGTACATACCAAGCTGCCTATATTTCATGAGAGATTTTTGAAGGCATAAGATTAGTAGCAATATGACAATCACAAAGATTTATTTTTTGCTAGTTTTTTAAAACATGCTCCAAATGCTAGTATAGTTCCATACGTCTTAAAAAAACTATAACATAAATAAGCTACACAATTCAAATTTTGACTTTAAAAAGAACAAAAATACTTAAGTTCTTTTTTTTTAAGAATAGTCATTAGCATTTATTAAATTTGGTGAAATAAAAGACAAATTCATCTGGATGAAGTCTGTATATTTATTGATAATTTTGTACAACAATGTCTAGTAATGAATTACATAAGAATAACATTGTGTGTATATGGTATTATTTTAGATTTCACATTTTGAATATTTTGGTTTTATATCTTTATATGTATTTTGTCTAGGAACATAACCCAGCATGGCTTTAAACTTGAGTTTGATTACTAGTAGGGCTTCATAACTGGAACTCCCTTAGGTAATCATTTTAACCTGTGTTCCATATTTTAAAAACTCCTTGATTTTAGGATAATGACAGAAAGATAAATGCTGACTTAGGAAAAACATTTCAATTAAGAACTGCTACTTTTTCCTTCCATAAGCAATTATAAATTATATATGAAAAGCAAAACAAATGTAATCTAAATTGAGTGTTTAAAACAATTGCCAGCATCTTCTATAAACATAATAATATTGAGTACATGTAATTAGCAAACATGGTGCAAATAGTCACTTAACATCATTTAAAATGTGCTAATATCTCAGCATGTTTTAAATTGTTTATAATGACATATTTACTTGTTAGTTGGGCTATGAAAAATAATGAGGAATAAAGTAAAAAAAATT